AGGTTGTGAGACCAGCGTCAAGGGTTGGTTCTCTGTGAAGACAAGCTTGCCAAGACCACCACTCTCACCCATGAATTCAAGACTCTGAGCCTGGCTCTAGCCTTCCTGAACCCTGGACTGGAGAGTAACCAGTCTCAGGATGGCCAGTTTCAGGCATGCAATAGGGCCCCAATGCTGCTGCAGTCCACGGATGTCTTCTTGAGCCTTAACCCTGCAGTGGTTCTTCAGTCAGGGGTCTGACCACAAAGCTAGGAGGGAAGCCTACAGCTCCTGGTCCACATCAACCCTGAACGTCATATTACATTCTACTACCCTTTTTCTGGCCATTAGGATAATGCCTGGTGTGGGGTGGCCATTCATTTCCATATGGGCAAGAGCTTTCTCCTCTGGCAGCCTTAGTACTGCATGCTGTCAGTCAAGAAACTCAGTTCCAGAGCTTCAAGAGAGACCTCCTCCACCCCAGCATTCTACTGGCTTTACCCAAATGCTTTAAGAAGAATGTTTCTGCCCTCATTCTACCTGGGCTTCGTAGATTAACTTCCTCTACAACCCTGACAGAGCCAAGAATATCTCCCACAATCCACCCTAGCATAAAAGCTAACTGAGTGTCATTCATTGTTGAGTAAAACCAATGTAAATTACATTTTATTCATTTGTCTGTACTTAATCTTTATTTGTATTGCTTCATTATCATTACTTGAGAATTCCGTGATTACAGAGCATGAGAATGTGTATTTGTGTGATTCTTTAATTTCAGCTGTCTTAGGTTGAGGTCAAGATAGAAGGAAGGTAAGTGGTTTTTGTGAATCAAAAGATTTTAGCCATTGCTTGTCACACTAAATGAAAATGAGGCACTTACTTGAGTATTTTATTGGTGACCTTGAACCCTTCATTCTTTATCCATTTAGTGGACAAGTTGTCTTGCCTGTTATTCCTGCCGCTCATAGAGTGTGGGAACCACCCAGCAGACTATCTCCTGGAATGGCCAGGGATGGATAGAGGACAGAGTCAACCATTGATACGTAGGGTCTTAGGGAACAGTGTTCATAACCACCACACATTAAAATCTACTACAGCAGTGATGGCTCTCTACACTACCTTTTCAAGTTTAAAAAAGAAAAAAAAAAAAGCAAAGTGAAATTTGGGGATTGCTAGATATCTCAGCAAATAAAGGTGTAGGCTCCTAACCCTTGACAATATTTAAAAATTTACTATATTGCAAGTATACATGTTCCTGGAAGTTGAGGGATGTTTTAGAGACCCAGTCTCCCTGTCCAGGATCCCTGATGTTCCAGAAGATCCACACACACTTATGTGACTCATTCTGTTCGTAAGTTAAGCTACAGTGAAAAGGAACAGTACCTGAGAGACTTGCCCCTGAAAATGGGATTGCCCTATTCTCTAAATTCTTCCTGACAGGTACTAGCACTTATATTTCTTTAATGCAGCCCCATAGGGAATTATTCAGAACATACTCTGAGGGACTTGTAACACATTGGCTCCCTGTTGAGAATCCTGATTGGTTTACCGCTCTGTAACAGGTCAACAGATGTTCCTCCTGCTCTTGTCACCAGCTTGTCTCTGCCACTTTCCATGTTGTGGCTTGCCTCCATATAGTCAACCTTAAGGCTACTTCTCACTTATGCTCTGGCTCTTTTACAGTAGTACCTGCTTTTCAAGTGAGATGCAGTGTGTGGTGCTGAGAGATTGCTTGTCTATAAAATGCTCGCCATGCAAGCATGAGGACCTGAGTTTGAATTCCTAACACCAAAAAGAAATAAGAAATATCAAGGAGCAGTAGTACATGCTTGTAAAACTGCAAAGCTGGGTTGACAGTGATAGGGGGATCTCTGGGGCTTGCTAGCTTAGTTGAGCCAATCACTTCCTTCAAATATTATGTGAGGAAACAGGGATTGTTTGTCCCTTTGGCCCAACTCTGCATGCAGATTTGTTTTCACCTGTGAGCTCAGTAAGCAGCGCCAACCTCAACCTAAGCCATCCAGCTGGAAATGGAGTCAGAGCTACTCTAGGGAGAGATGTCACTGTGTGGTTTCACATACTTGATTTAATTCTCACATGACTCTCATTTAAAGGAAATAACAACCATTAAATCCCCCTGCCCCATTGCCACTTTTGTTGCTTCTAGTTATTTTTATAATCAGTGTTTGAAGACACCCTGAGAACATTTAGTCCCCACTGCCCATTCTGTCCTGGCCTGAGGAGCAGCATTCAGGGCAGGTGGGAAGGTGGAACACTGACCTACCCCTCTCTCCTCTGCAGGACTGTCTTCAGCATCACCTCCACCTCCTCCACCACCTCCACCTCCACCTCCACCAGCCGGTCCCTCGCCAGCCTCAGGCACAGAGATGCCTGCTCCGTTCCTGCCCCAGGCTGTGAATGGTGTAAACCGTGGGGCCTTGCTCAGCTCCATCCAGAATTTCCAAAAGGGAACTTTAAGGAAAGCCAAAACCTGTGACCACAGCGCTCCTAAGATTGGCTAATGCTTCTTGGTTACACTGGAGAGCAAGCTCTTCTTCTGTCCCACCCCACCCCTCTAGTACCTCTTCATAGGTGAGTTCTTCCACAGCTTCCTCAAGTCCCTTCCTGGGTGAATCCTTGCAGAGCCAGTACAAGTACAGCCAATCTTGCAGATACACTCCAGTTAGGAGGCTTTTCAAGAGGGAAATGCTCTCCAAATAGAATAAAGTGAGGCCAGCATTGCTGCCTTAATATTTTGCTCCTTTGTGACTGTAATGGGCTTCCCTTAGGGGCAGCATCATATGGGTATCATTTTCACCAGCGTAAGGAAAATGACATAAAATCAAAAGCAATGACAATATTCTGTCACAGAAGCAAATGGCCTTTGTCACTCTGTCCTTCCCACTCCTTTAGAAGTGTTCTCATAGCTCGTTCCTCTGAAGCATCTTTTGGTTATTTCTTAGGTAGCTCCCATGTGTGCTACCCCTTATTTCACCTCAGATGCTAACACTGTAACCAAGGCAGTTACACTGCTGCTAGAGCAGCAGGGGCTCTTCATTCTCCCATACACAGGGTAGACGGGGGAGTTCCTCAGAGTTCAGTGGGAAGCTCACTGTGCTGAGAGCAGCAACTCTGCATTTATAGTTAGTTCTCAGCTATAATGTACCAGAACAAGACATTAACCACACATAAAGCTCTTGCCAGTTAAAGGATTATCTTAGTCCTCAGCAATTAAATCTGTTTTGGGGTAGAAGGAAGGCCAACATTACAAGTGAATCTGGCATTTATAGTAATCACTTCTGATTTGATTTATCCAACTTCAGCATCTTTTTGATATTATTCAGTTATCAGAAATCTCTTATCCTATGATTTGCTTAAACCTTTTAAATAAATTGCACTTTAAAGGATTATAAAAAAATCCATCTTAAAATTCAAATACACACATCAGTGTTGGTTACTATGCAGAAAGAATGTTATTGTGTATAGTTTCATGTAATCTGTGATATATGTTCAGCTGTATTTTTTATTAAAATAAATCATGACAAGAAAGTATGTTGTTTACTCTACCCTGTCTCCTTCAATAACTTGTTTAAACCAGTCTTTATCATCAAGTTCTAAAGAGGCTCATATATGACAGAATAGCTGGGTTCTGGCAATGTAGAGAAGAACCTGACATAAATCTTTTAATTTTAAAAGGAACCCTTTACTAGGTGTGAGGAGTCTGTCAGACTGGGATAGAGAGAGATATAACTCAGCTCGCCCAGCAATTCAGGAAACCCTGGATCTGTCACCAGCACATTATCAACTAAGCATAGTGGTTTGAGTCTAACACTTGGGAGATGCAGGTAGGGAGGGTTATCGTCCTCTACTATATAATTAGTCTGAGGCCAATTTGGCCTACATGAGACCCTGCCTTTAAAAAAAAAAAAAAAAATCAAAGAAAGAAAGGCTGTATGTAAGGCTATGTGCAGTGTGGAATAATGACCCGTCTCTGATGGAAATCTGGGCCTGAGTGCTTCTGCTTTCTTGGGCAAAGTTTTAGACATATGAATAAAAGCAATAGTCAGAGTCTGGGGATGAAGTTCAGTAGTAGAGCATTTGGCTAACATGCACATGGCCCTGGCTTCAATTTGGGCCAAGTGTGGTGTCACACACCTTTAATGCCAGCTCTCTGGAGGCAGAGGCAGATGATCTGTGAAGTCCTGAGTTCTAGGCTAGGAAAAAACACAGTGAAATCCTCTAAAAAACTAAACGATCTATAGTAGCTATATACAGCATATCAAGTTATTTGACACATATATATGTAGTTTTTCAAGGCAGGGTTTTTCTGGGTAGCCCTGGCTGTCCTGGAACTCACAATGTAGTCCAGGCTGGCCTTGAAAACAGAAATGTTAGTGATGATAAAGCCTACAGAGAGACAGCTAGATAGCCCAAACTCATAATCCCAGTTCTTGAGTGTTGAGGCAAAATTGTTTGAGGGTAATGTGGCCTGCACAGTTCCAGGCCAGCCAGCAGTATACAACAAATTTCAGTTTCCAAACAGAACACCCTACAAAACTACTGGCTAGCCAAGAAAAAAGAAGTACCAAGAAGTACCAGGAAACAAAAGACTCGAGAATAAAGAACATCCACAGGGAGAAAACCTAAAATCCATTTGACGCTATTGCTTACAGTTTTGTTTAAATGACTGAAAACAGTGAAAAGATGAGGCCATTTTAAAGACAGGACAGCCTTGGAAGGCAGGACTTAATGAAGAATCCACGATTTGTTCTTCTATAGATCCCTTTGGGAGCAGCACTGGGCGTGGAATAAAGTTCAGGCACTGCTGAACCCAATAGAAAAGAAAGCGTGCAAGGGAGACAGATGAGCTAACTGGAGCTAACTCCTGCCTCTGCCTCCTGAGGCTCACTCCCAAGTGCTGGCATTAAAAGCATGTGCCACCACCACCCAGCTTGACACTAATTTCTTAATAGTACTCCAGTACTTTCACATACATTATATGAATATAAAAATACAATTACTCATAGGTAGGAATCCCCTTTATTCCTTATCAAAACAATTTAACAGCAAATGTAGATAATATACTTTTTGGACATATAAGTTATCTTCTGTGGGGGCATTCTTATCTTACCCCTCCTAGTGAAAGAGGACAAATTTTTATATTAATCTTATTCAAAGACTAGACTAACTTAACAGTAACAGAGAAAGCAGAGCATCTACGGTAGGGAGTAGAAACACTCCACTCATACGCACATTTAAACTTAACAGTACAGAGACACCTGCTGCCGCTTCAGCATTAACTTTATGACTGACTAGTAAGTCTCGGAGTATACATCAGGTGAAGTCCCAACAAGTATTTTAAATAAATTTCAATGCCTTGACATTCAAAGTCCAAATTAGACATTCAAAGTCTTCTTTACTGCAAATATGATGTCTTTGACCTGAGGTATGGAGTTGTCTTCTAGGATCTTTGCGTAAGGCATAGGGACATCAGCACCAGTGACACGAACGGCAGGGGCATCAAGGAAGTTGAATGCAGGGCCTAGGGAAGAGAGACGGCTCACTGAGAGGCAGACTCAGGACTCAGGAAGAAAAAACAAGGCAATGAATCCTAGTTACAGGGCTCTACTTTTGGTTTGACTTTTTAAAACATTTACCCAAGAGACAAAACCCTAGACTGACAAGTTGAAAAGTCACTTGGTCACCCCTAGCTTTTGATCTCTTTCCAGTCAATATTCAAGTACAGAGTATTCACTACAGCTTGAGTGTGTTCTAAAACCAGGTTCTTTGAAATACCTTCCATAATTCTGGCACAAATCTCAGCTCCTACTCCAAATTGTGGCCAGCCCCCTTCCACAGTTACGAGATGATTTGTCTTCATGACACTGGCTTCTATAGCGTCAATGTCCATTGGTCTGATGGTGCGCAGATTTATTACCTAATAAATAAGACAAGGCAGGAAATAGGCTTTATAGAATCTGAGAGACAAATACAGCCTTGACTCTAAAACACCACTTTTTGCTTTTGTTAATATTTGGATCTAAGAAATCTGAATCTGTCTATCAACAGGTACACAAATGTAGCAACTAAGAAAAACCAGTACAGTACTACATACCTGTAAGCTCACCACTTAGGATGCTAAGGCAGGATGACCCCAAGTGTGAGGATAGTGTTGGCTACACAGTGAGATCTTGTCTCAAACAAAAGTAAAAGGGGAATTTACAATTAAAGCAGAAGCCTGTAACCCCATCACAGTAAGCTTTGCTCACCTATAGGATTCACTTCTCCTTGGTTTCAATATCCCTCTTATCAAAATATATACTTGAGTGCTCAATATGCACCAGGCCGACACCATAATACTCCATGATGGAGGGGAATCCTATTATCCACATTTTTATAGTCTATGAAGCACAATGATACTTTCCAAGGAGAACTATCTGGTAAGTTCTACACAGGAGATTAGATTCAGTTACTTAAGATACTTAAGTCCAGCTCCCAGGACTTGTGTGTGTGAGTGTGTGAACAGTCAGAAGAGATGACCTCCAGTTTCTTCTTCAATCGTCTTCTGCCTTATATTTTTTAGAAATGGTCTCACTGAATCTAGACCTAATTGATTGGTTAGACTGGCTAGCCAAGCTAGCAAGCCCTAGGGATCCTCCCAGCACAGTCTCCCCAGTGCTGGGTAGCAAGCCCATGCTGCCATACCTCACTTGTTTTGTTGTGGTTTTGTTTTGTTTTTAAGTGAGTGCTGGGGATCTAAACTCAGGTCCTCATGCTTGCAGAACAAACCTTTACTGAATGAGCCATTTCCCCAGCCTAACAAGACTGGATCTTAACTTGAGAAAGTAGGAACTTAAAAGATAAAGAGCCACCACTTTTGGCTGTAAGCAGAGACAGACTGATGACAGAGTTCAAGGTGACCTGGAAACCATGATTCTACCTCTTCTCGTCTGAATCTTGAGATTACAGGCATGAATATACGATATAGGATGTGTGAGTGTGTACACAATAGCATATAGAAGCCTGCAGCATAGATGGGTGTGGTGGCGCCTTTAATCCCAGCACTTGGGAGGCAGAGGCAGGCGGATCTCTCAAGGCCGGCCAGCAACAGTGACAGCCAGGGCTACACAGAGAAATCCTGTCTTGAAAAAACAAAAACAAGCTGGGTGGTGGTGGCGCACGCCTTTAATCCCAGCACTTGGGAGGCAGAGGCAGGCGGATTTCTGAGTTCGAGGCCAGCCTGGTCTATAGAGTGAGTTCCAGGACAGCCAGGGCTACACAGAGAAACCCTGTCTGGAAAAAAAAAAAAAAAAAGAAAAGAAAAAACCAAAAACAAACAACAACAAAGAATTTACGGGCTGGAGAGATGGCTCAGAGTTTAAGAGTACTGGCTACTCTTCCAGAGATCCTGAATTCAATTCTCAGCAACCACATGATGGCTTATAACCACCTATAATGAGATCTGGTGCCTCTTCTGGCCTGCAAACATACATGCAAGCAGACCACTGTATAAATAGTAAGTAAATCTAGAAGGCAGAAGACAACTTTCAGGCTACCACATGGCTCTTGGGAATCAGAGATTGTCAGGGCTTGGCAGCAATTTTACCTGCTAAGTCAACTCATCAGTCTTGGATCTTACAAGGATTTGTGAGGGGTTCGGGGAGTGAAAGTCCACTTACCTCACATTCAATTCCCTCCTTAGACAATATAGTTGCAGCTTCTAGGCAGTGGCCCACTGGTCTTGAATGGGCAACTACAGTGATGTGGGTCCCTGAAATAAAGCAGTCACAGATTAGAGGTCAATGGAACTGATGTAGTACCAGTGACTCTGCAACCAGCTACAGCTTGTCTTATCAAACCGCAGCTTATTCTCATGAGCTGTACAATGAGGCTGTATTCATGGACATGAGATACAGACAGACTCAGAAAAGCCTAACTCGAGATCACTCATCCTTACTTTTTTAGGGTAAACTACAGATCAGTAACTTCTGACCTATGCAAACAAAAGGGCTACAGTAAAAATGATTAATGTATACCAAGGTGTTCTTACCTTGCCTTTCAATTTTGGCTTTTCCAATAGGAATCAGGAAATCTTTTGACTGAGCTTCTGCAGGAAGTTCAAATGCAACTCCATACATCAGTTCATTCTCTAGCATCACCACTGCAAGACATTATAAGTTCTCAAACAACAAATTACAGGCAAGATGACCAGGAATGCATATACCACAAAACTATTCATCTTATGAGGAAGCAGCCTGGTTTGTCTCATCTAGAAGCTTTATAGTTCACGCAGTCTGGTCAATAAGGTTAAGCCAAATGTGCAGGTATGCAGTAAATAACCAGGCCCTCGGAGTGAGAAGAAAAACTACATTTTTTACTATCTTTACTGTCTATAAATCATTAGTACGTTATACATATGCTGTATCTAAGCCTAACTAGATGTCCTCAATGGTTCCTTACATGCAGAGAGTTTATGTCAGCTTTTTAATGTTCAAAAGAGATGCAGGGGTTACCTGGATTATTATCACGAATGGCCGATTTAATAAGTCCTTTTGCATCCTCGGAATTCCAGGGGCTGACCACTTTTAAACCTGGGCAGTGCCCATACCATGCAGCAAAGCATTGTGAGTGCTGAGCAGCTACACCTGCTGAGGCGCCATTGGGCCCCCTGAATACTATGGGCACAGGCTGAAGGCCAGCAGACATGTAGTAAGTCTTGGCAGCTGAGTTTATAACCTGGTCAATAGCTTGCATAGAGAAATTGAAGGTCATAAATTCACAGATGGGCCGCAACCCAGCCTGTCAAATGGAAAACATCAATGTTAAAAAGACTAAACAGAACAAGGAAGAGTGGTGAATAATCAAACAATCCACTCTTCCAACATACAACAGCATGGGTTGAGGTTTTTCTTTCTTTTTTTTTTTTTTTTGAAACAGGTATCTCTGTGTAACTTTGGCCATCCTGGAACTTACTTTGTGGATCAGGCTGGCCTTGAACTCAGAAATCTGCCTGACTCTTTTTTTTTTTTTTGGTTTTTCGAGACAAGGTTTCTCTGTATAGCCCTGGCTGTCCTGGAACTCACTCTGTAGACCAGGCTGGCCTCGAACTCAGAAATCCGCCTGCCTCTGCCTCCCAAGTGCTGGGATTAAAGGCGTGCGCCACCAATGCCCGGCTCTGCCTGACTCTTGAGTGCTGGGATTAAAGGCAAACACCACAACACGCAGTGCAAACATCAAAAGATATTAAAGGAAATCTCCTTGGATGAGCTTCATAAATATTACATACCATAGCTGCACCAACAGCAATTCCCGCAAAGCCCATCTGTAAAGCAAACACCAGCTTAAGAACAAGCCCATAGGAATTAAAACTGATTACTTGGCCAGCCCCTCAAAGCCTACCCAGAAGGCGCACCTCTGATATGGGAGTGTCTATGATCCTCTTGTCGCCGTATTTCTTCCACAGGCCTCTGCTCACCTACAATTAAGATTTAGCCACATCACTTTCAAGTGGTTGTCAGGGCAAATGGCTACTTTTTAATTCTACATAAAGTTTATCCATTTCAGTTACCTTGTATGCACCGTCATATTGGGCAACTTCTTCCCCAAGCAGAAAAACTTTTTCATCTCTTTCTAGTTCTTCATCCATGCCTTGATTAATAGCTTCACGAACTGTCAACTGTCACAGGTATATAAACAGAAAACATGTTACAGGATTACTCAGGAGACTACGGAAACTCCCTTCTTTATACTTACCTATGCTGCCCACAACATAAAACATAATAAATTTAACACTCATGCAGGCAGTCCAAGTTCCAAGAATCTGAGGAGGCAAGATGGCCAACCCTGATGAGTTTCGTCTCCAATTTCTACATGGTGGAAGGAGGAAACTGAATCCCTGGAAGTTGACCTCAAGTGCACATGTGCATGCTCACACACATACATAAAGTAGATAAATACATATCATACAAATCCAAGTTCCAAGAATTTAACAAGGAACACTTACGCTAAACAATCCTTCACTAGATGTTAGTGACAAGCTTACCGAACACTTCTGCTGTACTGCTTGATGTGCACACAGTCAAGAAAACTGAGAGATTGCTAAACTAGCTCACAGGCAATTTCCTACATAGAAAACATGCCAGGCTGTTTTATCGATACACCTGTTGTACTAAGACTCAGAGAACTAGCAAGGAAGGTCTAACTATGTCTACTAACAACGACTGAGTATTAAGCATTCACTAGTGCACAACACGACATCTGCAATGCAGGGGTGCTGTTATGCTACTATAATATGTGGAATACTTCTGGATACGCATATTCCAAAAAAAAGCATGTATCTGCAAGCCAATGTTCTCAGCTCCATAACAAATCCAAAAGGTGGAAACAAGTCACCCTTGAATGAATGTATAAATAAGACACACAAAGGCTATGACTCAATGTTTCAAAGGAACAAATTCTGATGTATGTATTCTACAATATGGATGAACCTTGTTAAATAAGCCAGACACATAAGAGCAAAAGATTCAACTTATATGACGTTCTAAACCAAGTAAACTCAAAAAGTGCCAGAAAAGTACAACACAACAGCGACTGGAATAGTGTGAATTATTATCCTGTAAAGTTCTGGAAATTGATAGTGTATACAGTGAATTCACCCGATGTCACACTTGAACACATAAGGTTTTAAAGTTATATTTTACCACAACTCGAGGGTGGGGGTAAAAAAGTCAGGGAAACAGGTGGTCGTCTGTTTGACTGCCACCGGCCTCGAAGGGATGGGTGCCAGTATGAGTGGCACCGGGAGGAGACAGAGGCAGAACCAATCATACACAGGACGCGGCCGCTGTCAGGGTCCGAGATGCCACCCGGCCTTGGGGCAGATGCGACCCTGATCTCTAAGGCAAGCTCCCGGGACCCAGGACCCCCTCCCGGCCTTGCCCGGCGTCGGGACCGGTTACCTGCACCGCTGCGGGCGCCGAGCGGTGAAATCGCCTCTTCAGCAGCCCGGAAGCCTGGTAGAGAGAGAGAAAAGGGTTCAGAAAGGGCACAGAGCCTACGGCGGGCGCGCCAGGGGCAGCTACCTACCTGCCGCAAAGGTCCCCGCACCAGACCAGCCACCGCCGCCATCTTGCCCGTGTCCTCTACTCGCCGCCGAATGACAACACAGAAGCGCCGCAGACCCCCGTCCGGCGCAGCCAATGGTAAGGCGTGACACCTTTAGGGCCCGCCTCTGTGCGGCAAAGCCAATAGAGAGTGGTAACTGAGAGACCCGCCTTCCTGAGAAAGCCAATAGTAAGACGCTCTTTCAGGGGCCCCGCCCCAGGCTTTGGCAGAGCGCGACCTATGAGCTCCGCCTCTGCATGCGTAGCCAACGGCCGGTTTCGACGCCTGCGAGCTCCGCCCACCTAGCGAGTCGTGGTCCTGCGGAGGTGACGGGAGGCTGCAGTTCCTCTCTGACCTGGTACACTGGGGATAACTTTGCAGATCGCCAGCGGCGGCTGTCATGCACCTAGCACGCCCTGCACTGAGTCCTGACTGCTAGCTGCTCACGTGCCAGGACTGAGTCAGTGCGGCCTGATCCGACCGAGGCTGCAAGGACCTTAAGGCCACCCCTTTGCGGGTACTAAAGGCCTTGAGCAACATGTGAACCTTGCACACGCAACAGTGGATAGTGAACCTACCAATGTATGAATGGGCGCTGTCAATTGAATATAAACAATAGCTTTCATGTATGCACTAAGCGTCCAAGAATTATGAAGTCTGCTTGATAAGTGATTGTAACGTAATCCAGGCGTGAAGAGGTGAGGAGATTGTTCTGATCATGCTGAATTTAGATGGCATACCGGGACTGGAGAAGCCTAAAGCCTAGTTTTAGCTGGGTTAGAGACATTTGAGAATAGCTACTTAGATGCAGTCTTTATTTTCCGCTTTCAGTCTCATCGACTGTAAATGGAATAATAGACACTGAGGTATGGGATCACCTCCTTCCAAACCTCCCTCGTTGCTGCCATCAGGTGATCACCTTGTGAGATATATCAAATATGAGTCTTTTCTATCAAAAATTATACAAACTTGTGTTTGGGGCAAGGATTTCAAATCCTATTATCTCTCCTGCCTTGAAAGACTTTCATGGAAATGGTTTTTGTTTTTGTCTTTTTCCCCACAAGACAGGGCTTTTATGTGCAGTCCTGGCTGTCCTAGAACTCACTCTGTAGACCAGGCTGGCCTTGAACTTACAGAGATCACCTGCTTCTGCCTTCTGAGGTATATGCCACCACCACCCAGTCCATACTTTTTCTTTTTACCATTGAGTATTTTTTTTAATGGCATAAGCGTTTCAAATTTTGTTTACTAGAAACTTAAATATTACATTCACTACCTTGGCTGCAGTGTTCTTATCTATTCAAACTCTGTAGTCTGCTTACATCAGGATCCCCTAACTTCAGAGTATATTTCCTGTGAACAAAAACACTCATGTAACCAAAGGACATTGTGGAAATAGATATAGGCCAGGCTGGCCTTGAACTCAGAGATCTGCCTGCCTCTGCCTCCCAGGAGTGCTGGGATTAAAGGAATGCACCACCACAACTAGCTTTGAGCAAATGTTTGAATCCTCCCTATGCAGTAAAACCTTTGTTTATGTGAAGGCCCACTGCTTTGCTCTTGGAATTCAACACCTGGAGTAATTGTCCTTTTCTTTTCAGAGCCTCCTTTCCTCTTCCTCCTGCATTTCTTCAATACCTGTGGCTCCTCTGAGCACTTCTCGCCCCTCCCCCTCCCCTGAACATCTCCTTCCCATCTGCTAGGCTTCCTCTCCTCCAGCCTGATCCCTATATAATGCAGCCAGTTGGACTACATGGGTCTCTTATTCCCAGGGTCCTTTTTTTTTTAATTTTTTTTTTTTTTAGATTATTTTATGTATGTGAATACGTTGCCACTATCTTCAGACACACCAGAAGAGGGCATCAGAACCCATTACAGATGGTTATGAGCCACCATGTTGTTGCTGGGAATTGAACTCGGGACTTCTGGAAGAACAGTCAGTGCTCTTAACCTCTGAACCATCTCTCCAGCTCCCCAGGGTCCTTTCTTGCTCTTCCTCCCCTCTCTCCTCTCATGACCCAGTTTACTCTGCTGGCCGTGTTCAGCATGGACTCTTCCTTTTGCCTGCTTTCTCCCTTATGTCTACAATAAAAATCTTCTCCACACTTGAGACATAGCCATGTTCTCCTTTTATCTCACAAAAATTTACACCTTTAGTGATTTCCTTGTTCTGAGTTAACCCCTCTCCCAAACCAGATATCTCTGGAGGATTACAAGGTAGAAACTAGAGGAAACTAACAAGCTTCATTATTTCCTGTATCTGAGTCCAAACCTCCCCAGAGTGAAAAACAGCACTAAGGAGAGAAGCACAGACATCACAAGACTCAGAAACATGGCTGACCCCTGAGCAAGGCAGGGAAGCCTGAGCTACACACACGCACACACACACACACACACACACACACACACACACACACACCCCGTCCCGCACCCTGTCTTATAGAATCTGCTGGCTAGAAGTGAAATATAATCAAGATTTCTAGAATGTTTAACTCAAGTTTCTCTTAATCTCAGCTCTGAATAAGGCACATTTTTAAGATCAATTCCTGTTTCTGCCTATTCTGTAAGTGACAGGGAGCAGGAACAGAATTCCAGTTACACTTTCGGTTCCTTTCAGGGACACCCAGTGCTTGCCAGTATCCCCTCACCCCCCCCCCTTGATTTCAGGTATCAATCCCCAGGGACTCCTTTTTTTCCTTATAGTGGTTTGTTTTTGTCAATTGTCACAAACTAAAGTCACCTAGAGGAAGAAGGAATCGCAGTTGAGAATTTGCCCATCAGATTGGCCTGTAGGCGTGTCTGTGGTGTGATTTTCTGGACTGATGTGGGAGGGCCCAGCCCTTTGTAGGCAGTGCCGCCCTGGACAGAAGGTCCTGGGTTGTGTAGGGAAGCAGGTCAAGCAAACCATGAAAGCAAGCCCATAAGCAGTGTTCTAGTGTGGTTCCTGCCTCTGCTCTTACTTGAGTTCCAGCCCTGACTTCCCTCAGTGATGCACTGTGACATGTGTTAGCATTCTGTCTAAACTTCACTCCCACAGTTACCTGGCAACAGCCAGGTAGGCCTGATCCTCTCTCTATAAAAGGGGCTGTATGCCCCCTCCTCCTCCCTCTCTTGCTCTCTTGAGCTCTTCTCTTCCCCCCCTCCCTTCTCTATTCCCCCCTTACCCCTCTCTCCACTTGTTCATGGCTGGCCTCTCTATTTCTCCTCTCTCTCTCTCTCTCTCTCTCTCTCTCTCTCTCTCTCTCTCTCTCTCTCCCCCCCCCCCCACTACCCTCTTAACTCCCCTCCTCATGTCCTGAATAAATTCTATTCTATACTGTCATGTGACTGGTCCCTCGGGGGAAGGGGATGCCTGCTGAGACATCCCCTTCGCCACCACCCCTCCACAGAACATATCCTCTCTTTATTTTTTTATAAACACATCAACATTGAAGTATAAGTCAAACAAAGTATAAGTCAAACCTTTCCTCTTCCAAGTTGGTTTTGGTCAGTGTTTTATCACAGCAACAGAAAACAATTTAGGACAGTCCTGTTCAGAGTGAAAATATGATTCAGTTGTCTTCTACTCAGCATTCGGGATCTGAATTACAAAGCCAAGGTAGATAGATGTCAAGATGAACTGAACCTAGAGCCCAGATGTGTTCTTGGGCCTTATATTCACAAAAAATTTGTCAGTGACTCCGAGTCAGTTGAGTTGGATGTGTAAGTCATTGAGTTTCACAGGCCTCAGAGAGTTTTCTTTTAAATAATGACCGTGGTCATTTAGATACAAAATAATTGGTACAGTTGCTTTCTTTTCAAACTGGCCGATTTAGAAAGGCTGAGCAAAATTTCCTGTTTAAAAAACACAAACAAAAATACTGAACTTTAAAGTTATAAGTTCTTAAAAGGAACCTTTGTTTATATGCTCACTGGATTTTATAGAAAGGCTTTGAGAAGCATAAAATGGCCATGCAGTCCTCTCAAAATCAAATCTTTGCAGAGTAAGAAGAAACATCTGTCCTCAAATGCTTGGTGTCTTTTCTCTGTTTTTGAAATTTCCTTTATCCAAGGTTCTTTCTCTTTGGATTTGGCCAACCTTGTGTGCTGTTTTGGATTGAAGAGGGGTCTCAGTTTGCATGCAGCCCAGACTTTCGTGGCGCTTACTGCATAGACCAGGATGCTCTCAGACGTCCATCTGTCCTCTTGCCTCACTCTTCCTGAGTGCTAGATTGCTAGGATCATAGATTTTGACCACCACACCAGTACTGCTGCCATTTTTTTCTTTTTCCTTCCCTCCTCCTCCTCCTCCTCCTCTTCCTCCTCTTTTCTTTTTTTCTTTTTCTTTCTTTCTTTTTTTTTTTTTGCAGAATCTCAATATGTAGCCCTACCTGTAGATCAGGCTGGCCTCCAGTGCACAGAAATCCTCCTGCCTTTGGATCTCAAATTCAGAAATTAAAGTTGTGTGCCACCATGCCCAGCTATGTGCATTATTTATGTATTTATATATTCTAACCATATGAGTATGCTTATATATGTATGTGTGTGTATTGTCCCTTACACAGATTCATGTAACCACCAATCGAATACAGAATTATTTCATCATCACAAAGAAGCTCCCTCTTGTTACCTCATGGTTCAAAACTCCCAACACCTGCTGATATGTTTCAAATGACTGTAGTTTGTTCTTTTAAATTCTGGGCATAGGGTTCACCAGTAGAACATTTATTTAGCATATATGAGGGCCTGGATTAGCCAGCAAAAGACACACACACACACATACACACAATGTTATGTGAATGAAATCATGCAGTATATAAAACCCTCTGAGACTGGTTCTCATCTTCAGAGCAATGCAAATTAGTGTGTGCCACATTTCTGTCTGTTACATAATAGTCATGATTAAATCAGCTGGCTCACTCATTCTTCAAAGGACATCTGGGTTGTATCCAGTTTTCCATTCTTAGCAATAAAGCTATTAAGGACATCAATTTGCAAGTCTATATGTGAATATAAGTTTTCATTATCCCACAGAAATGCCCAGGATTGTGACTGTGTGGTCAGTGCCACTTTAAGGTTTCAGAAACTACCAGGCTGAGTCTGAAGTCTGACCATGTCATTTTCCTTCACTTCCACAGTGAATGAGATGCGGGTCTAGCTGCCTTAGGTTTTTGGCACTATTTAGTGACATCACCAGTCTTCTGGGTTTGAAACAGGTTTTGCTATTCCCACAGCCCACAGTGGTTCCAAACTTTAATCATCTTTCCTGGACTCTTGTGTGCTAGGATTACATGTGTGTACAGCATACTTGGCTGGGCTTTTGTGTATGTGTGTGTTCTAATAGATATATAGTGATATCCTTCATAGTTTAATT